CAACGGACGATGAAGCAAGCCGCGAGAGAGCAAGCCAAGTCCACTATCCCCCCTCTTTGTGTGATCTCTCTAAGCCTCTCACATAACCTCTCTTCCCCCCTTTCTCAACAGGATTATACCCTGCTAGTGTTATCCAGTCCTTTCCTGTCCTGTCCTATCCTGTCCTGTCCTGTCCTGTCCTGTCCTGTCCTGTCTCATCCTGTCCTGTCCCTCTCATGAATGGACCCCCTGTTGCCTCTACATGCTCTGTTTTACCTACACACCACCTGTACTCTTATCACCCTTAGAATTAGTGTGTCAATTTTGTCAACCTGGCCCTTCCACTCCTCCTAGCACTAATACATGCCTAAGGATGGCTGTTCACTTCTCAACCATATGTTTTGATCATTTTTTTCCTCCCCCAAGCAACAGGTGCTAGCATAACTGAAGAGTTGTTGAGTTCTCTTTATTATACACCCCAACTTTCACACTCCTTTTTGCTCACACCACCAAAGAGATTAGATCACCTCTGACACCCAGCCTACTGTTAGTCAAACAAGACCTTCTCAGTTGTCTTCTCCTTATCTGCAGTAATACTGTGCTTACTAGACCTGTTGGGTATCATTCATGTGTTCCTTACAGTACTGTTTAATGTCTTGACTATGTGTTTTGGTCAATGTCTCAGTTGTCTTCTCCTTATCTGTAGCAACACTATGCTCACTAGACCTGTTAGGTATCATTCATGTGTTCCTGGCAGTGCAGTTTCATGTCTCAACCATGTGTACTCCTTGTCCCTGTCCTTGTCTCTGTACGTTTTCATTGATGAGTCAAAGCCTTCCTAGGCCAGTTACTATGTGTTCCTCTTCAACAGCTTGCTTCAACTTGCATCTGTCTTAGGGATACCATTTCCACCAACTCTGTTGAAAGTCCTTGTCCCTATACGTTTTCATTGACAAGTCGAAGCCTTCCTAGGCTGGTGACTATGTGTTCCCTCTTACTATACTTCCCTTGCCTCTTCATTAATCCTTCCCTACCTTTTGACAAGTTGAAGCCTTCTTAAACTTGTGACTGTGTGTTCCTTATTGTCTGCCCTTACCCTTTTGTATTTCACCTCCCCCCCTTTACTATATCCTTTCCTTTGTCTCTCCATTAATCACTTCCCTACCCCCCCCCTTTTATTTCTTCAGAGTAGGGAAGAGTGTAACCTCTGAGGTTACACATGTGACTTTAGTTAAGTATATAAAGGGCTATTTGTAGACACTTAGAGATTATCTTTGTACTTGCTCCTGTACTTAGGTCAACCTCTCAAATCCCAGGTCTTTGCCTGTTCCGTGTTCTTGAGTGAGGCTCCAGCCTTTACAGGTGGTATGTGATGGATGCAACAACGTCCGCACTTGTTCAGGTGTGGTCACCACACTACAATGGCCTTCATTTGCTCTTGATGCTAACGGCCCAAATAGATCACACATATCCAGTTCCTGGCACTGCTCTACCCGTCCAGACTCGAACAGCGCCTCGTTCTCTTCCTCTTAGGACCTCTTGCGCTGCTGTCAGCATCTATGGAGCTCCTTCCCATTCACCAGAATCAAAAAACAGTCGACGTTGCTGATACCATCTGCAACACATGCAACGCTGCACTCTCACTCCTCTTCACCGCTGCTTTGTTTCTCTGGGGTTTCGCGATCAATCGGAAACAAGCTTGGCGTACGGATGGTGGGACGGCCGTATTTGGCGGTGCAGCACTGGCGCTTGCAATCATCTCTACCGCTCTAAACTTTCTTTACATCCCGACAAAGGATCAGTATCTCTGGCTGCCGAGCTTGATTTGGGCTGCAGTGCTATGGCAGAGTTTCCTAGGATGGTGGTGGTGGGAAGGCGGTGGAAGAGGCGTGGGCGAGGTCGGGAGCTCTTGCAAAGGTAGGAAAGGAGAGAGAGGAAGCACAAGGCGTGTGCAGCGAGGAGGACAGTACAGAAGGAGAAAGTGCAAGCGCTGTGGAGAAATGCAAGTGAGACGCTGAGGTTTCATCGAAGAGTAAATGCAGCGCATCCAGGATCTGTTCCTATTGAAGAAGGCGAAGCAATTGAGATGACGGATCATTCAAGAGGACCCAACATAACCCAAGCTGTGGAAGCATCGTCTACGTCAACTTCGGCGAGCTCACCGACGACGACGGAGGCTGGGCCGAGTAATATACTGTCCTGACTTTGCGCAACACCTCCCATGCTTGCACTCTCGCACTTCTACCACTTTCTACGCAGAGCGCATCTTGCTGCAGCACTTAGTCAAGCACTCGAACGTATGCGCTTAAGACGGACAGTATATGGAAACGAGGTGGCTGCTGCTGCAAGAACGTCTGGTACATTACCAGAAGCTGCAGATACGGACGTTGTTGGGTGGGGACTTGGAAGCTTTGGATTGAGAGAGAGGGAGAGGAGGGAGAATGAGATGGCAGAATTACAAGATCGAGAGGACTTGGCCTTGCACACTCAGACACATAACGAAGATGACTTGGACAGGGAGGAGGCAGGAAGGGAGAGGAGGCCATTGAGGGGTGGGCAGAGGTGACAAGCACCCCCACCACTGACGTTGCGAGAAAACTGGTTGATTTGGTGGCTGGGACCAAGGAGGAGGCAGAGATTACAGGATTCTACTGTGTAATGATCCAAACACTTTCTTCTTTTGTACCCTTTGTATGTTCCTCTGTTTGCTTGTTGTGTATGCTTTCCATGTATTTTCTATACTATCCTGGATGTAACTATCTGACAGTCAAAGCTTGGTTTAAGCTCAATAATTATTGTCATCTGGTCTGGCAACCAGAGAATATGTGTGTGATCTCTAGCTAGTAGAATGAAATGCAACACACCTGGTTTCACAGTCCTCAGTTGAAAAGTCAATCTTGATACTCTCTTCTCTATTTACTTTCAGTGACAACCTGAGCTCTTTCTCTACTTTCTCTCTGTTTGTCTTTAGATAGGCATTGCTTTTACAAATTCTGGTAGAGAGCTTGTCAAAGTTGTTGCCAGGTAAGAAGAAATGTTAGAGTTTTGTTTTACTGTTTTTCTCTCTAGCAGATTCAGTTATAAGGTATCTCTGAAAGCCTTTATTGATCCAGACATGTAGTTGATTGTAGGCAACAAAGAAGAATGTGTGAAACATTGTCAGACCTCTACAATAATGCAAGTAGAATATAACTACTGTAGCAGACTGTAACTGTTCAAGTTAACAATGTACTAAGATCCTGTTGGCTGTATTAGATTACACAGTAGATCTTTACAAAGCCAATCCAAGGCATGTTCACATAGTTTCTCTGATGGCTCAATATCTAGATTTTCAGACTGTATACTGACCTGTACATAGATAATTAGTATGACAAAAAATAGGACATGTTAGAGAAAGACCTTGTATAGTATTAGTGTTGAGTGCTTCAGAGCACCTTCATAGCTCAGATGGCTATGAATTTCTCACTACAAAGTATTAACATCTGTATCCCCCAGTATAACAAAAGGACAGGTATTAGTATTGTCATTGTTTTTGTTTAGCAGGCAGATCACATAACAGTACTTAATTAGACTTGACAAGGACATGACAGATGATGGTGGATGAGAAACAATGTGCTAGCACTTGACAAGGCATTATTAGGACTGTGACTCTGGTGACAAAATCATGTGTACACACAATCCTTAAACTTATACATAGGGCATTTCACAATTTCTTGCCTTAAGAAATAACTTACATAATGATAAACATTATTTGTAATTTAGTTTACTATTTTTGGTTGGCAGAAACTCAGAACAGAATTTAAATTTTTCATTATACAAAAACTAGAAATTAATTTTAACATTTCTCTATTTGTAAAATCTTTAAATAAATAGAGATAATAATTTATAACATAATTTAAAGTTTTTACTATAGCAAAATTATAAATTTTCTTTCAGATTTAGTGTTAAGAAAAATTTGAAATTTCTTTTATAATATTATTCAAAGTAGAGTATAGTAGGAAAGCCTTTTTTAAGACATTGATTGAGCCAGTTTATATACTACTACATTAGTAAGACATTTATCTAAACATTCACATAAGCAATTATAGTAAAACCTGTCATTAAGTATGACTCACTGTGGACCTGGAAAGTTATACTTAATAAGAGGTTGTGCTTGAGAACAGTTTGTTATATAATATACTAAAAATTTCTATATTTGAAAGTATATAGTCAAAATACATGAGCTATACAAAAAAAGAATGAATGTTAGCTTGTTTAAGGGAAGTATTATGCTTCATGTGTATAAATCTTGTAAGTTTAGGTAGTAGTGCCTGTACTTTAATAAATTCAGGCCTAGTTTCACTCTAAAAGAGAGTATTAAGCTTAGAAAGTGTAAGAATTGTCTTAGAATAAGTAATAAGTAGTTCAGACTTAGACTCTAAAGTCTTGAGTTCTGGAACATACTCTCTATTAGCCTCCTTCCTGTTAAACTCAACCTGCTCTAAGATCTCTACATTACTTTATTCAGTTTTAGTAAGTTTCTTGTCTTATATCTTAAACAGTTCTTCTACTATAAGAATATTTATTAGTAGAATCATACCCTTATTCAATTTGAGTTTGTTTAGTGCATCTGAGAGATTCACAGGAGATGAGTACCTAGAATGAGTGAAAACAATTTCACTAGCATTCTTAAGAGTTCTATCTAGATTCTAAACACATTTAAGCTTTTTAAACATAATAGACAACAAGTTGTGAATGTAGTTTTTATTAAATCTGTTAAATACACTCACTTTGTTACCTAAGTATTAAAGAGATAGAGTGTATTGGCAGGACTTGAGTTTGTAGGGTTAAGTAGGAGAGGTGTTACTATTAGTCAAACTATAGAGTGTCCTTAGTATTGTAAGTACTAAGTAACTTAAGTTAATAAAACTAAAGCTCTAGTAAAGTAAAGTACTCTCCTTATATACTTTTTAAAAGAGTTATGTAACTACTTATTACCTGTTACTTTTAAAGGTCATGTGTTCATACTAAGTAACTCATTCTGACTTGTACATTTGTTTATGTACTTCAAAACTTTAATAAATTACTTTCTGATTTTATTAAAGTAGAGTAAATCTACTTCTAATTTAATTAAAGTAGAGTAGATTACTTCTAGTCTTTCATAAAAGTAGAGTAGATAGTCTGTATACTCTCAAGCCATTCTATTGTCTAAAGTTCTGTACTATTCTTAGATAGTCTTATAACTCTGAATAACTTTATTATAACTTTATATAACTTTATATAACTTGTCAGGAATCTACCTGACTTATTTAGTACACCTTCTAAACTGTTGTCACACTCACACAGTATGTATGTTCTGATACATTCTGACTAGAACAGCTCAATTGTATAAAAGATGTATCATCCTTATGTTAGTAGTCTCTTAATTACATTATTATTTACTAAACAATAGTTCTAGTTACTTGATTCAGAATAGCTTGGCTCTGAACCACACTTCTAATCCACAAAGGTGAAGCTCTAAGCCCTCTAATAATGGTTTGATTAATACAAAGAGGACTCAGACCTGATGTTCTGGATTAGTTAATATGAAGGAAACAGTAGTAGAGTTGTTTATAAAGGACTAGTAGTTACAAAGGACTCATAATTTCTATAAATATTCTTATGTATTTTATACTGAATTGAAGGAAGTTACTATCTACTACAATTCTTAGTGTGTAACTTAACAGTCTTAGTAGTAAACATTCTACTTCTTAGCTTCTCATCTTGTTTTGTCTTAAGTATAGCTTTATTATTCTATACTATTCTTGTCTTGTTCTGTTTAGTTGTTACCTTTAGAACTCATACATTCTGCTCAGATCTATCTAATATTACTCATATTTGATCCTCCTCAGTGTCTGTACCTTACAGACTTACTAATCTCTCTTCTACCTCAACTAGTACTTAAGATCAACATTTTAGAGCCTACTGTAAGAGGAGTTTCTTAAGGTGTTTTAATTAGGCTGAGCAGCTAACAGGTAGTAGTACTACTAACAGTACACTAACTTGACTATAAAAGAATCAGATTCTGAACCCAAATTAAATATTATTAACTGTAACCTCTTACAATCCACATTCTGTTTACTCAGTCCTGTCTTTAAAGAGGTTTCTGTATAGTCTCTTAAGTAATCTGGCTTAGATTCACTATCTATACTTTATAGTTTGTTCCCTAGCTTGTTCCTGTTAATGTTCACACCTAGCTTCTTATGTTCTGTGTCTCTGACATTGTTTACTCTAGAAGAAGACCAGACAGTCTTACTTGCATTTCTACTACTTCTAATAATTCAGACTGTTTCAATCTAACAGAACAATCTAACAAGTTGCCAGCCTCAACAAATGAGTTTACAAAACAATCTGAGTGGCCAGCCTGCCACAACTAGTAATCTGAGTAGCCAGCCTGTCACAACCAGCAATCTAAGTGGTCAGTCTACTATAACCAACTATTCAATTGTTCTGCCTGTTCTGATTTAAGGACAGACTAGCCTGCCCCTATGTTAAACAAGCTGAGGTACTCTATATTATAATAGAACTAATGTTTAGGACCTACCCTAGTTCCTTAAAGAAGTAGAAATGATTGGACCAAGGAAATAATGACAGTTGGAAAGATTGCTCTTGACTCTGGCCTTCATAAAAATGGCAGGGTTGTCATAGTGTGTTATGTAGTTCTTTTACATAGTGTCTAACCCTTTAAACAAACAAAAATTCATAGGTTGGAGTTAGTGACCAGAACCTTGTTGTGAGCAATATCTTGGGAGTTACCTCAGCAGTTCACAGTACGTTTCCTTATTACAAATTTCAGTTTATCCATTGTTAACAGATTGTTCCATCAGTTTTGTTCTCCCAGTATGGAATCAAGGAAGACTTGGTAGAAGCTCTAGACCTTGTCTCAAAGGCATGTGATTCTGTCAATGTTCATGCTTAGTTTGGTTCTGACAATCACAACTAGGGCTTTGTCAAACCTGTTGTTAATAAGCTCCCACTTCATGAAGCAAACAAGGCATATGACAAGCTTTGCACCAATTTGGTCCTATCACACAAGGTATGCACACCTTCATCCATCTTTACTGTGTAAGTGCAGCCCTGCTAATCCCAAATTGTGTATAAGGTCTTGATTCCTCCAGCATTCTGGAAGGACTAATTCTATTGTTGGTGTAATGGGCCTTTAAATTGTTCTGATACTACTGCATTATAAATGTGACCTAGTTTAATATGTTGGTGTTTACTAAGTGTAGTTACAGTAATCAAATGACAATGGCTACAAATATGCTACTTAGATATTCCATCTCTGATTTATTCCAGGAATGTTTGTCCTAGCTTTCATGCCTTCCTATATTTTATATAGTGTTGAACACAAGTGAAGCAATGTTAAGACAGGGAGTTTGGAATAGTACTTGGATATATGCACATATATGTGCACCCTTATATACTAGATACATTGTGCTATACTAGTAAATGAGACATAAAACACAGTATGTTGAATACTCCCCTTCAAGCCCTAATATTCTGTTGTTAATGTTGAAGACCTATAAGTTCTATTAGGTGCTTGATTTGAGGAACATAAAGTGCTTTTGTAAGGATGTCTGCAAGTTGGTTCTGTGTTTAAACATAATGTATGTCAACATAGTTGTTCTGAATGTAACAGCAGACAAAGTCCTTTCACAAATCAAGGTGTTTTGTTTGAGCATTGAAAGTGATCTCCTCAGATTTGACAGTTTGTATTGCTCCCTAATTGTTGTAATAGACTGTAATGGGTGCTGATTCTGTCTGCAGTACTTCCTCAGCAAGTCGTTTGAGCCAAATGGCCTCTTGAGTTGTGTATGCCAGCACTTGCAACTCTGCTTTGTAAGTCAATAGTAGTACCAGGTTCTGTTGTTTGCTTGACCAAGATATCGTTTGCTTTCCCAGCTGGAATATGTATCTGTTAATTGATTGGTGTCCTTCTGTCATTTGTCTGTTAGCATTGTAGTACCCTTGTATGGTCAATGTATTTGTGCCTCCAAGATGAAGCCAGTAGTTTGTAGTTCCTTTTAGGTACTGGAAGCAATGTTTTGCTGCTTTGTAGTGGCTCATATTTGGTTGTTGTAGGTAGTGTGCTAATTGGCCTGTAACATATGTAATGTCTGGCTGAGTACAATCTACTGTATAGCATAATGATCCTACCATATTCATGTACAGTATTGTAGTGTTTTTTCGTTCTCAAGCTTAAATTGTTGTATTATGCTCTGGATATAGTGACTTTACTGTAAGCAGATTGTTCTCCATTGTCTATTTCTTTGGATTTCAATTCCTAGAAGCTAGTGTATTTCGTTTCTGTCTGTAAATGTAACATATTGTTTTAACACTTCTTTGAATGTGTTCACTATGGTGATGTTTTCACTAATAATAGTGATATTGTTGACATGCATGAATGTTATTAATATTGTTTCGTTATGCCTTTTCTTATAGAATACAGTATTGTCATAGTTTGCTTGTTGCAATCCTATTTTATACAGTATATCTGTAATTTTCTTATACTATTGTTGTCCTGCTTGTTTTAGTCTGTATAGTGCTTTATTTAATTTTAGCACTTGACCAGGTTTGATATTGTTTAGTAATTTACCCAGTGGAGGTCTCACATAGATATGTTTGTCTTTGTTTAATTCTCTGTAAAGATATGCAGATTTTACATCTATTTAATGTATTTCATAGTCTTTAGATGCTGCCCAGCTTAATAATAATTGTACTATAGTTAATTTTGTAACTGGAGCAAATAGGTTGTCTGAATAGAAATCTATTCTGTCCTTTTGGGTGTAACCCTGTACTACTAGTCATGCTTTGTATTTGTCTATGTTGCTGTTAGCTAGTTGTTTTAATTTGTAGACAAATCTTGTTCCAATTATATTTGCATCTGTTGGTGGGTATGTGTATTCCCATGTATTGTGTAATCATAATGCTATTATTTCTTCGTTCATAGCTTTGATCCATTGTGCTTTATTGTTATTTGTTATAGCATTGTAATATGTTAATGGATCATTATATACTTTGTTAAGTAGTTTGTTAAATTCTGTTAGATATATTGCTAGATTTATTTCATTGTTGTAGTTTAATCCTCTAGCACATTTTGTTACTTGTTGTTCACAAGTTGATTGTTGTAACTCATTATTGTTATCATTATTATTCGTTCTGTTTGTTCTGTTAGTATTATTATTGCTGTTGTTCGTTCTGTTATTTGTTCTGTTAGTTCTGTTCGTTCTGTTATTATTGTTATTATTATTATTCTCCCCTTCAATTCTAGATGATTGTACATTTATGAATTGCAGGTTTTGTTCAACTGTTATTTTATTATTGTGCCATGTTATATGGCCTTTACTTTTGTTATTGTTGCCTAACCATTGTGTGTATTTACCTCTAGGCTCTAGTTTGTGTGTATTTTCGTTCTGTATAACACAATATGCTCTGAATTCTTGTATGTTATCAATAGTGTATTGTTTATTAAACTGTTTGTAATATGGTGTTGCAAAATTTATTACAGTACATAGTGTTTGATTATGAATAAACGTTTGGTATTGTGCAGCATATACCCATAATTTCACAGGTAATTTAGACATTAATAGACACATTTGTACTCTGTTAAATATTGTTTTGTGCATACATTCTGCAACTCTGTTTTGTTGTAGGGTATCATGTACTGTTAATCATTGTATAGTTCCTTGACTTTCTATGTACACCATAAAGTCATTACTTAGGAAGACAGTATTGTTATCACTTTGTAGTGTTTTTACTTTTACACTGTATTGTGTAAATAATTTCATAGTGTATTTGATGTATTCAGTAAATGCATCACTTTTATAATGCATGGGTATCATATCTGCCTATTGTGTAGTGTCATTGACAATTGTAAGTATGTATTTGTATTTGCTGTATGCTTGTATAGGTGCTGGACCCTATATATTAATATGTAGACATTCTCTGTATGTTTTAGAAATTGCAGACGTTTGTATTTTAGGTATATTGTTACATTGTATGTTTGCATGCATACAATCATTGCATTGTACATTCTTATTGTCTGTTACTTTTCGTTGTATTATTTCAGGATGATTTTGTATGAGTTTGCATAAATACTCAAAGTTAATATGACCTATTTGTTTGTGTAAGTCAATTATAGTTATTGTGTTAACGTTCTGTTGGTAATGATGATGTAATACTATCATATATAACTTATTGCATACTTGTATTTCTCCAATCTTTTTATTTGCAGGTGAATAGATAGTACACATATTGTTTGTTTTTACTAATTTGTGTCCTGCTTTGCATAGTAATGCTTCACTGATTAATGTGAAGTTTAGATTGGGATGATAGTATACATTATGTAGTATGATACTGCTTACATTTGTTTCGTTCATTCTGTGTTCATTGTTTGCATCTCATCATATTCTAATTATCATTGCTCCACTTTGTCTGAGTGTGATTATTGTTTTGTTTGCAATTGTAACGTTTATAGGGTTTGTATATCATATGTTTGTTAATTGAAATAGATAGGGTGTAGCATAGATATTAGCACCTGAATCAAGTATGTCAATACAATGTGTAAGTTTTGTTGTTCTGTAAGAACATGTATTAATGCATACGTTTGGGTTATATTCCCTGAGGAATTTGTCAAGCATGAGTTCCCCTTGTATTTCTTGCATTTGTTTGTTGTTTATAGTGTCTGGTGTTAGCATTTTGTTTACTTTGTCAATAAATGCTACTGGGTCTGTAAGTGTAGCACTCATTGTTTGAGCTGTAATTTGTTGTGATGTAGATACATTTGTCATTGTCATTGTTTGCTTTTTTCGTGCTTCCTTTGTAGCATCTGTTACTGGACTGTAGCACTCTTTGGACATATGTCCATATTTGTTACAATTGTAACATTTTGTTGTCTTGTAAGACTTTGTATTGCCTCTGCTGTGTCCTTGTCCTCTTGTTTGACCTTGTGTAGGCCCTAGGGATAGAGGGTGATTATTTGTTATTTTATTATTATTATTTAGTGTACTATGTTTATTCTGGTGGTTCTGTGTTTGCTACTCAGTAAATGTGTTGTGTAATTTGTGAATTAATTTTGCTAGTGTGAACACCTGATGTTGAGCTGTGGTAACTGTGGGTAGGCTATTGTAATGTATGTTCTGCCTATCAATCATTGTTACAACCCACTTGTACTCTCTTGGAGTAGTAAGATTTATTGCTGAGACGTAAGTATTATCATCTGGTGCTTTGCTGTGAGCTACCAGTTGCACATAGACTTGTTCTATTTGGTCTAGCATCTTGTCAAACTGTGAAACGTGTCCTCTAGCTGTGAACAGTGCTGATATATCAACTGTGTGAGTCAACATGGTTTGTGCATTGTATCAATCAGCTAGTGCCTGCATGAGGTCTTTCATTGTTTTGTACATTGTAACGTTAGCATACACTGTATCTGATATTGTCTTTGTTATGAAATGATACAATAGTTTCCCTGTGTGTGTGCTGTCTGCATCTGTGCTAGGGGGATCGTTTGTAAGATGGTCACTGAGCAGCATTGCTGCTAGTGCATTTGTAATGTGTAGTTGCCATATCTTATAGTTCTTTGTGCCTGTAAGCTTCTCTATGTCTTTAAAGAACATAGCAAGTTGATTGTCATCAATCTTTGGAGACTTGAACGTTAATGTAGATTGTGCCATTGTTAGAGGCGTTGTGTTTGTAGGTGGAGCACTAGTACTAGGAGGGGGGGTAGACGTCTGAGGTAGAGGTTGCATTTGTGGTGTTGTTTGTGTCGATAGTGCCATTCACAAGCCAGCAAGGCTCATAACCTGTTAAGACAGGGAGTTTGGAATGGCACTTGGATATATGTGCATATATGTGCACCCTTATATACTAGATACATTGTGCTATACTAGTAAATGAGACGTAAAACACAGTGTGTCGAATAAGCAAGCTTGAAACATCTGTGCTTTAATGCAGCCACTAGGTCTACCTGTGTTTACTGAAACCCATTTCGTTCTCAGCAACTGACTAACTCCTAGACTAGTTCTTACCCGACTAGGCCGAATTTTGAAATTTCTACTGACTGGGGTGTAAGAAACTCAATTAAAAGATATTACAAAACGTTTTACCATACGCTTGACTTGGCTTAAGTAAAGGAAGGGTACATTACTCTGTGCCTTTCATTCTACAGTATGAAACCCATTCTTCTGTTGCTTACAGAACCCTCAGACAAAATATACATTGGCAAACTTCCTGCTTGTAGCCTTACGTTTCAATGAGAAACAGAAAGTCTAGCTCTCGGATCATGTCAATGTGCATAGCATAAAAGAGCAACCTTTTCAACGGCAAAAGACTACAACATTAGTACCTACTTCTCAATCGTCTCCTACAGAAACTATAGCTCGTGCCTATCTATCAAATATGCAAGCTGCTGTTCATCTTCCAAACACACCTACTTTGAAGATCGTAAATGACTTCGAGATTCCGAAACCCGGACCAAACCAAGTTCTTCTAAAGGTCCAAGCTTCCGGGGTCTGTCACACAGATGTGGGTAATAACAAACGCCTTCCAGAGTCAGGGAAATTTTGATTAATTTCTTTTCAGGTCTTTCTACTCAGCCAGTTTCCAGAAGATCCACGCACCTATATTTTGGGGCATGAGTGCTCTGGAATTGCCGTCGCGTTCGTACCAATTGAAATTACAAAAGATGCACTCACCAATCTATGTTTCTCTCTCTGCCATTACAGGCTCGGGTCCGACGTTAGCACAATTCAATTAAACAAACGCTATGTTGTCCTCAACTTGGGCGGTTGTGCTGGCTGTGTGGCGAAACTCGGGAGTTCGAACTCGACGGGATCAACGGGATCACCACCTAACTTGTTCGACCTTGCAATTTTTGGGATTGGAGCAAACGGTGGACATGCAGAATATGCAGTAGCCAATGCCGATGTTCTTGTCCCTGTTGTAAGTATACTTATTTAACAACATCAACTATAGAGGACTTACATGTTGCAGCCTGACAATGTGTCTGCAGAGGACGCAGCCGTAATGGCTGATGCAGGAACCACAGCCTGGCATGCGATCAAGACAACAGCACAGGTAATCTACATTTTCTTTACCAATGTTTACGTGCTGAGGTGCCACATCAATGTTTCAGGTTAAGAAAGGTGATCGTGTCCTCATTACAGGGATCGGTGGGCTCGGGCTTCTAGCAGTGCAATTTGCCGTCTTCCTCGGAGCGGAGGTGTTTGCTGTGGATATGCGCCGAAGCAGCCGCGAGCTTGCACTCAAGTTTGGTGCTCGTCAGGCATTTGACCTCATCGAGCTCGATGTTGCACTTACCAAGGGCTTCCAAGTGGACATTGCAGTTGATTTTGTTGCTACTAATACCAGTCAGTCAACCTTACTAATTTCTTCAACTCAAATCTGCATTAGTATTGACATAATGTATAGCTTTTACCAAGGAGATTACTGCTATTAGCGGGGCGCTATTTAACACTGGCCTGCAGAGACGCGGGAGGCTGGTTATAGTACGTGCTTATTCTCAAAACCCCTTGCTCCTCGTTGACTGACCTAACAAATTCTGTAAGGTCGGAGTTACTGACCAGAACCTGGTCGTGAATGATTTTATGGGTATCTCTACCGGAGTGGAAAGTGAGATGATTGACATCTCGATTTACAAAGAAATCCGATTGTATTACTTACATTTTTATCAGTTCGTTTCTCTGTGTACGGTCTCAGAGAGGACTTGGTTGAAGCTTTGGACCTTGTCTCAAAGGCACGTCATTTCATCAACATTTTTCCCAAGCTATCTATTTAGATTGGCATTGATAATGCATAACCAGGGAATTATCAAGCCAGTTGTTGATAGACTTCCACTGCACGAAGCGAACAAGGCGTATGACGAGCTCCGCGCTAATTTGGTTTTATCACGCAAGGTACGCATCGCCCCTCCGCCACTTCTGATTTCACGAGCGTCAAATAGACTAATTTGTGCATTTGTGTATAAGGTCTTGATTCCCCCCACATTCTGGAAGGGTCAAGACTGATGTCATCAGAAGCATGTACCTAATTTCTCGATAGTTAGTTAGTTAGTTAGTTGATGGGCAATATGTTAGCATATGTATACTTGTTTTACCGAGAGCGATTAGATTCGATAATCACAACTCTATAACTGCTGAAACACCAGAATGCTTATGAGTACCGCCGAATCGTGGCAATGAGTAAATACATTTTCATTACCGAACTGTGCACACTATATATCAACTGCAAGACAGCCTATTCTGTTGAAAGAGATGGCTCCATACGGGTTTTAACCTTGAATCGTCCCGAAGAGAAAGACTAAATGTTGAGAGAGGGAGGGCCATAGTCAGACCACCTTCAAAAAGTCGACCAGATCTTAAGCTTACTAGACCAATACTTACAGATTAAGTCAGAAAGTGAAACAAGATGACTTAGGCAGCGCTATCAGGCCTGAGGCGCAGCGACGGAGGATAGAAAAATATTTCGTCTCAGTGATCGATGAAAGACGTTTATCAAGCCGGACAAGGTCGGTTGTAGAGCTAGCAGAATACGAAAGACTCCAGTAAAGCAGCAGTCCTATGTGTTTAGAAATTAGGCTTGAGGTGCAATGGAGGGCAGTGGTGGAAACTTTGTCTCGACAGTAGAGGATTTTGCCAACCTAGACAAGCCAGCTATACATCCCGCAGAATGCAGAAAAAAGTCCAGTAAGTCAGCCCTATTCATTCAGTGATTTTTCTCGAATTTCCTAGTGAAATAGTCCAGTGACTCGAGTCAATAGCTTGGATAAAGGAAGACCCGGTTACCCTCCTTCGGTGATATCACGGATCAGCAGTACTATTGGAGTTGTTGAATGCGAATGTATCACCAGCTCAATTCTATGATCTTGACGCCTATAGCTTTTGGAAGCCAATAACAATAGCAGAATCTCGCCCTATCGCCGCCGGTGAAGTATCTGTCACTTCATCATGTAAGTGGAGTCGGCGATAATGGTGTAGGTAGGCAGGATTAAACAAGTCGTGCGGACGCACGGAGTAAACGGTAATATTCAATTGTATTGTACGCTTGCGTGCACAAGTAGGTTGACCTAGAGCACAAATATCAGCACAAGGGATAAGAGTAATGAGGTCCTTTAAGACGCGAGCTTGGAGAATGTTCAGTTATGTTAAGGTCCAAACAGCATCAATTTCGCCGAGACACCTCAGTAGCATGGATCTTGATGATATCGTGTCGCGGCAGTATCAAGGATATGCGCCGCAAGTCGAGGTACTAGCTCATTATGCACCTTAATTCCTGGTGTAGAGCCGCGTCTTGTCCGTACGGCATGCGGTGTTAGGCCTAAAATACAAGCTTTGAGGTACAAGATCAGCTCGTCCATTCAGTTTTTGGAGAAAAGCGTGCAGAGGTACCCCCTTTGTGAATATACATAAATGGAGAATGGAAATAATCATAGTTTTTGTCCCTGCAAGTGTAGTCATACGGCCCTTGAACGTGAAATACCTCACCGGGACTGTTGGCTCTGGTTGAGTCCTGTCATGACAAGGCACAGTAGCACCAAAGTCGGGATTCACCAATCGGTAGGGAGATGCCGTCTCATATTCTTGAGGCGTAGCTGCTCTGAGTGCTCTGATAAGAGAGAAAATATGTAAGGGGGAGAATCGGTGGTGTTTGAGTCCGACTTCGCTGGAATATATAGTTAGCGAGCGACTTCTTGACTGTTACGCGAGATATAACTATTAGATGTAAGTGCTCCCAAAGAGGTAGTCAATAATCCCATGGCTCGACCGGAAATATAAACAGTCGCAGGCGATGAACAAACGCCGGAAGAAAGCACCCTTGTGGGCTCGGCGCTAAGCGACGTCAAATAAACACTTTCTTGCTGCACCGAGACCGGCAGTAGCGGTCCCCGTCCCATTACAGGTCTATCCCAAGGAGATAACGCATGACATATATCAAGCGGTGGCGTACAGAGATGGTCCGCAGGGGAACAACAGTGTGCAAAAAAGACAGTGGTGAAGATAAACCAGCCATGTACTTTGGAAATCGATAAGCGGATGCTGTGGGGTGGGAATGCGGAAAGTATCGCAAGTACGTATGTACGATTATATAGCGTCTGAGACATCAGCTCTTATTATGTACTTCCATTTCATGGTCGTCTAGGAGACCCACGAGCGCAGAGACAGATCAGCGCTGTGGTAGGGCACCAAGAAAAGGGACCGTATAGTGGACATTTAACAGTCTAGGGTGGAGAGAAACCTAAATCTTGATCCTGGATGAAGTGCGAATAAGTCGGAGCCTCAATGGGCAATTCGAGTAAGACAGCAGAAAAGCAAGTGATAAATGAGCTGCGAAAGGAGAATGAGAATGAATGAAGGGGTGCAATCTTCGTGCGATTTGATGTGCTCTCTTTTGCACACGTTGAGGGGACAGAGAGACAGACAATTGGGAATGGTTGCACTGAGTCTGAATCTGGAACCCTGAAAGGGAGGTCATGTGATGCGCTATGACATAATCTGTGGCTGTCCTGGCACTCTCAAGCCTGGCACTTTAGCGCGTCTTGCTGCCGACGACCTGCCAACGATCTCACTCATCTGTCTCTCTTCCCCAACGACGTTTCTGCCACCGCAAGCATCAGTAGCAAGCCTAGATCTTATTCTACTAGCACCCAGACTCTCTGTAGACTCCAATTTCTGCTGCATACAGCCACCCAGTTAGCGCAGCCATCTGTGAATTGCGCCCGTAACTCACGACTTGTACGACCACCACGCAGTTTCCTTGCTCTGACGACTATCTATAATGGAGAATTATGCAAAAATCGAGAAGGTTGGAGAGGGTGAGTCGCACTTGTTTTGATAGGCCGTGACTTTATGAACATACTCATCATGTGGCACCAGGCACGTACGGTGTAGTATACAAGGCACGGGATGTAAATACTGGGAGAGTGGTAGCACTCAAGAAGATAAGGCTCGAGGCAGAAGACGAAGGTGTTCCCAGCACGGCCATCCGCGAGATCAGTCTTCTCAAGGAACTCAAAGACGAGAATATTGTGCGGTCAGTGCAAGTTTCGCGGGAACCAAGACATTCTTGAGTTGCATATACTGACATACAAGGACAATCCTATTTATTCTAGCCTACTCGAAATTGTGCACGCCGACCAGAAACTATATCTCGTTTTCGAGTTCCTTGACATGGACTTGAAGCGGTACATTGATCACGGCAACCAGCATGGTTCTCCCATTACACTTGATACCGTCAAGGTAATTATTCGCGTCACTTCACTTGACTTATTTCTCCTTTATTGTGTTCATTCCGACGCGTATCCGGGGTTTGTGAATAACTCAAAGAAACATCATGCCGGCCCTGTGTCCCGAATATGTCCTTTCACACAGACAGAACTCGGCTTTAGACGGCGGGGGTCGGCGCTTCGCTTGCCTCATTTTGTTTTCCGATGCTCCATTCCTCAGGATCCAGACGTGATCACTCCTTCAATTTATACTGTCGGCCGTGTCTCGGACCGTGATTGTGTATTTCATATCGAGGTACACCTTCACGCGGACCGCCAAGAAGGGCGAGCGCGATTTATGCAGACGCGCACGTGACCGCTTTTGTCCAATTCTAAATGATGACCTGCCTTCATGTTCTGACGATACAAATCTACCACAGAAATTCACGTACCAACTGACTTCGGGTCTGCTGTACTGTCATGCTCATCGAATACTTCATCGTGACTTAAAGCCGCAAAATTTGCTCATCGATAAGGACGACAATCTCAAGCTCGCAGATTTCGGATTAGCTCGAGCGTTTGGTATCCCTTTAAGAACGTACACGCACGAGGTGTGTATATCTTTCCAGTTCTCTGGGCTTGTGTTTTTTCGCCCATTAGTATGAGGCATTCGTGCTCGATTGAGCACCTGCCAGAGGTTTAGTTAATCGGCTATCGGATTTCAGTACGATCCGATGGTCTTCCCTCTTGCAGCTTTTTTCTCTCAGTGATGAGACCTTAACTGAATACTTCGTTCCACTTGTGTTACATTGGTTTGACAGGTTGTTACATTATGGTATCGCGCACCTGAGGTCTTGCTTGGCTCGCGACATTATTCAACCGCCATTGATATGTGGTCGGTCGGGTGCATTTTTGCTGAAATGGTCTTGCGAGGATCGCCTCTTTTCCCAGGTGACTCAGAAATCGATCAAATTTTCAAAATTTTCAAGTACGTTTACGTCCTTGTCTCTTGTTGACGGAAATAACTTATGTCGACTATGTTTCAGACTCTTGGGCACTCCGAATGAAGAAACCTGGCCGGGCGTCAGTCAATTACCGGACTACAAGGCGACATTCCCGCAATGGTCCGCTCAGAGCCTTTCACAGCATGTATCTCACCTTGATTCAGCAGGCGTCGACTTCTTACACGTGCGTCCAAAATTAATATTCTGATTCCCTTCTCCCCTTCCACCTGCCGCGTAGACTCGCTCTTCTCTCGATCCATGCATCGCTTGTAATTAATATTCATGACCTGAGGCTGACGATCCATACGGTACAGAGCACATTAATTTACGATACTGCTCGACGTATTTCCGGTGAGTCCGTCACCTGAAAATTTTGATCGTCTACTAATAGATCCTATTGTTCCATTTAATAATTCTATAGCCAAGCGAGCACTTAAACATCCTTACTTTAAGGACTACACGCCATGACGTGTTCGATTCCGTAGTCGCAATCCCTTCCGCATTCACACCTTCATATCAACGTACTCGCATAATTCGCTGTAGTCGCTCCAGATCGCAATTGATATGTATAACATCATCATCGCTCTCGTTTCTGACCCGGTTCGCTCACGACTGGTTTGTTTGCACTCGTGCCATTTACAGTTTTCTTTTTTCCCCTTTACTCCGTTGTCTGCTACGTCTTGTCATGTCTCCAGTACGAGTTCCTGTCCTGATGATTCCGATGCCCCTGAATCTTTTAATGTAATGAACTACCACGAATTCAAGAACTTCAATTTCCCTTGTGCTGTCTTATTAAGATCCGTTCTACATGCCGTACACAATTAAAATTAAATAATAAAATGAACGGGTTCTCACTCCAAGATTGCGGTAAATGAGTAAGACGCTTGCCCCGATACAGTGTGCACGGATTGCGAATGCACGTTCACTAAGTGCTTTGTCAAAACCCATTTGCATTGAATGCCCTTTTCGCCGTGTTGTAACCTAAGGACATGCCGACTTCAACTAGCTAGCATAGGACCTCACCAGAAGCAACTTCAGAAGCAGAGAAAGAAAGAACGTGTACGGCTAACAGCACCTAGCCTAGAAAGATTCCTTTCATTGGGGACAAATAGTTCCGCGGTTAGTACGGGGTGAGAAGTCGAGCCTTGGAACGTTGGTACGAACGTTGGGACCGGCATCTGACGGATGGCCCCTTCTTAGAGTCAGACTGGGCTGGCCAACGCCATGGACGAGCGTCAAAATGGTTAAACATGTTAAGCATAACACGTTTCTTAACTTTCAGCCTGCTTCTGTCAACTTCCCGCACCTTGTGTCCCTCCTGTTTCAAATTCATGCGCCACGCATCTGAGATAGTTTGAGTAACGACTGTGCAAAGAGGGCTTGTGTTTACTAGCAGCCTGCAATAGCGAATTTTGCTCAGGAGAATCCGGGGGTTCGTTGTTACTCACCGGTGGGGTAGAAGAAGGTTATCAACTCAAAAAACACGAGCACAACCTGGTCATGAGTTAGCATGCAAAGCTTGCGTTTTCTTCGTCGGCATCTTAGTCTTAGCCGAAAACATTCCAGAGTGCGAAGACATATCGCTGACCTAATTCTGGGATCACAGAAAGGAAGCCTGGAGTGACAAACTGGAGAAGAAAGTAGGGGGCCGGGGTAACATGAGGAGTGGACGTGCAATGCTTCTCGCTCGGATACTGCGGATGGTGGTAATCGATGGCTAGAACACACCCAGAAGAGCCACAGCGGCTTTGGGGGGTTCCAACCAATCCTATGACCGACGAATCACATCCTACATCACCCAGAGAGTAGGACCACTCGAATCGCCTCCTCGCCTTCATTTGTGAATTGAGAACCCGAAAAGGGAACAGCCCTTTAGGAAGTTTGGCGAAAGGAGAAATTCCAATTATGTTGCCAGGATTTTAAGCACAATGAGAGCATGAATGACGTGGTACACTTATGCCGGGATAAGGCCTTTATCCGGATTTCCCGAGGCGCAAAGCAGTAAGATGCATAAGATTAGGCACTTTCTCGTTTCTTGACCGTCAAATCGATGGACATTATCAAGTCGTCCGTGCGCGATCGAGTCATCTCCGTGGGGTTCTAGACAGACCATCCAATTCATATTGTGCGATTGTGCACAGTCTAGATGCGCTCCACTTTCAGGAAACAGCAGGATTTCACTCAGGAAAGCTCCTCTCTTCTCGGACTGAAGCACTTTAGCCAGTTCCGGCAGTCGGATTAGCAGAATGGAATTTGAGTTGGGGCCAGTATGTAAGGATCATTCATCCAAAGCCGGAAAACGCCAGATCTAAAACGTGTCTTTCCACAACAACCCTAGTCATGGCTCCATACAGAGCATTCTGTGAAGAACAAGAGGGGACGATAAGCTTCAGATTAACCTCAGTACCCAACAATTGCGCAGCGAGAGAGGCTTCCATAAACATGCTGACTCGCAGAAGACTGTTGCACTTCCCCGCTGTGCTTTCTGGGAGTTATGAGTAGAACATTGGCTGGGTGGAATGATTCCGCACAATACATGAAGAGGCTAAGGATTCCGGGGTTGGATCGGGCCCAGTAACTGCTGAACGAACCGAAGCAAGCGCAAGCGGAAAGCGACCGAATCGTGGGCACCGAGTCTCTGAGTCTTGGTATCGTGATCAACTTGCTATGGAATAGTCCGGGATCAAGGCCACCTTGGAGTAGTCGGGTTTCAATTGAGCGTATCCGTTTCTCTTCTTGAAAGGATACGCATGCATATCCGAGTCTGCTGCCACTCGGTCCAACATGAGAACCAGCTTCTAGTAAATTGTACTTTATCACGCTGGTGCGACCATCGCAGTCGCAATTCATAGATCCCTGGCCTTTATGAGCATGAGAATGCGTCTATCTCTCATCGATCTGGCAAGACGGTGAGGAGCAGGATGAGGAGAGAAGGAAAAGTTCAAACTCACAAGTGCCTTGGAAGGGTAGTCCGTATGTGGAATGTGTGAACAATTACGTAATTAAGTTGTTGTCCTCGTCACGTCGCGACGCGCTTTTCAACTTGCTTTGCTTTATTCCCTTTCTCCCCTCTATCCAGGAAAGTGTGAAAGCATCTTCAACGCAACGTGCCTGATTTATTTGGAGACGATAATACTGCAATCAAAGTTGGCTGGATAACGTTCTAGCAGAGAGCAAATGAATAACGATACGAGATGTTCAACGACCAATTGGCGCGATTGGCACAGTCAGTAAATTCGAATAGTGCCGAGGTCTGTCTTCGCAGAATAAAGGTGGTCAAGGGTCGTGTGACACTCAAAACGGAATGAACCTCTACAGCGTTAGGTGGATCCTCGGGAGGGCATATGGCCAGGATAACTATGAATATTCTTCTGGCCTATCGGAGTTCAACACCAAGTCATCGCGTTGCACCTGTGTGGGCTCGCCTGCTAGCCCCTATCAATTCTTTCGATTTTTCCATCCAGGCAATACGTGTACTAGAAACTCTTGCAGTTGTGAGTTGGTTTACACTGAAAACTCATTTCTTAATTCGGCGCTTAACTTCAATTTTTTTTCTGCACGCGTGATGCCTGCTCGCGGTGCGCCACTCGATGAGTCAGTCTTAATATGACTTCTCCCTTCACATTGGAGAATTATATGCTCATGGGAAAACTGCCACTGAATACCGGCAAAGTGCGAGCAAGGCGACCGGTTTTTCCTCCGACGGCTCACACATCTTTATGTTCCTGGCTCGACGCCGAGTAATATTACTTGTGAAGGTTCGGTTCTCTCATTGAGCTCGGTGATTTGCCTTTACGTTTTGCGACGCTTGAGATATGGAAATTCTTTCGTCGAATTCAAGGCATTTGTATGTCACCGATCTTGAGCCGCAATTCTGCGAAGCTAAGCCCGGGCTTCTTGATCAAGGTAGAACTGAAACCGAAAGCTCTTCTTGAGGATTCATGGTACGGATTTCCATTACTCGACGTTGCCTGTGAATTCTGGGGATCTCAGCAGACATTTCGCAACCTGCCGCTTGCCTTCTAGCCATGTCGACTCGTTTACCTTCCAAATTTGGCCTTCCTTTGATCGACGAAATTTCTTTCTTTGGTGATGCTAACGAATGGAAGGTTAGGTCCAGACTGCAAGTGACCCCATCCCTGTTTTCTGTTATCTGGGCTTCTTCCTTACGATCCGACACCATCGACATCGATATCGCAGCGGTGATGTCGAATGCGCCGCTGCATTCGCCTTGCTCTGGTTGGAGGAAGGGTCAGTGAAGTGTGACCACCGTTAGATCGCGATCGATCAAGATCCGCCGAGAGCAGTATAAGACCCAGCCTAGTCTGATTATCTTCAACCTACACCCCATCCTCTCTTCATCTTCGCCCTTCATTCGTGTCAAACTGTGGATATCAAGGCGACATGGTGCGTTGTTGCCTGCGATTCCACATCCTCTCGCCTCTGTCTTGCTGAATATTTCAATTGCATGTAGGGAGTAACGATTGAGACAATCGCACCTGGTGACGGCAAGAATTTCCCCAAGAAAGGAGGTACGCTTAAAAGCGCTACACTTGATACATCGATACCTTGTCCTCAACGTGGATGTGTGCAGACACCGTAACAATTCACTACATCGGGACACTGGAAGATGGCACCAAGTTTGATTCGAGCGTAGATCGGTATGTCTTACCCTCCAGCTCTCATGACGTCTCCTGAACCTTCTGCCGTCGCACGTCTGCACAGTCAAAAACCGTTCCAAACGGAGATCGGCATCGGTAAGGTAATAAAGGGCTGGGATGAGGGTGCGATCTCACATCTGTGCTCGATACGACTGTTGCATTTACGATAATCACTTCATCAGGCGTCCCACAATTATCACTTCAACAGAAGGCGATTTTGACGTGTACTCCTGATTACGTGCGTATCGTCACCGTCGCCAGTGCTCTCTCCCCACTTATTGTTTCATATAGGCATATGGTTCTCGCGGTTTCCCCCCGATAATTCCGCCAAATTCTACTCTGAAATTTGAGGTGCAGCTGTTGAGTATTAACTGAGACGAAGCAGCTGTTCATTGGATGCGGCGGTGATTAGAGTTGATACGCATTCCCCATTCTGTTCCTCTCTTCACACTTGACGTCACTTCTTGTGCTGCTTGAGCAGCAGCTTCATCACGGCATCCTCTTATGTTCTTGTAGCATTTTATGTACTTATCATTTACTGGCACTTGCGAGAGACGAAGTATACTCGAACAGACTCGTATGTAGGTAGGCAGGCAGATTTTACTGTGGACTTTGGCATTCCTCTTGTGGCCTTGGGTGAGGCGTTAGGTTACTAGCCCTAGTTGTCGTTACTATCCATCGATTCACTTCAAGTTCTACATGCGGTTGCAGCCTTGATGCACTTTCTTTCCGAAGGTCTCGACTTACACGAGAATTTGGCACATGCATGACGAAGCTCCGGGAGAAAAGGACGCAAACTATCTTGGAAGCTCTTGAATATATCTGGCTGGGTCGTCATCGATAGTGCACAAGGGACAAGAGACGAAGAACGACAGTATGGCTCGAGTAAGCAATTGTTCAAAACGGGGTCAAAGAGTGTTTGAACCTCAGAATTTTGGCTTGATTCCGGAGAAGTTCCATGTCCGAAGTTAGTGTACCCGTTGTGTATTATTGTATTTGCATTTATAGCAAGCTCTGTTCTGCAGACAGCAATTGTAAGTTACAGTTCCGAATGCAGTCAGCTTTGGCGTAGTCTCGATCAGCGTCATGCTCCCACATGCCCTATATTATTAATACAACTCAAATCGACTGCCACTTTTGAGTTTTTGACTTCACAGAGCAGGGAAATGAAATGTTATGAGGATTAACCCTTAACTTTGTTTTTGGCATACTTTGAGTGGGGTATTCAATGCCATGGAGAGCGCCAATTCACACTACCAACCGGAGGAACTACTTAGGTACATCCGGATGAACCATTTCGACTTCTGTTCGGGCTTCCGATAATGGCACCTTGGGCTCTTTCAGCGCCTCATCGATGTTCGGTATTCCGAGTGCGATGCAATCCATTCCTCACCGGCGTCAGGTGAGATGTACTGCAACAATAAGCTTTAGCTTATTCTAAGTTGGACAATACTGATCTTCTTTTACCACAAGCGAATTTGGCGGATCAATTATAAGTTTATACCAATATAATTTCGTTGTAGTAAAGCTCTGCGAATTTTTTACTTTCGGTGAATAAGAAAGACAATGCTTATAAGCTGTTCTAGGATGAGGGAGGTAAATGCAGAAAAACCTTATCAACAGTCTTTACAAATATGAGTACCTCAAGCTGGGGCATGAAACTTTGTACATGTGAAATGATCAACCTTATGAACTGTGTCTGTGTGATATACATCGAATTGACGGGATAAACATAACCCACTAGGCAAATTCGATATCGCTTGTCAACTCAGAGCGCATCCTATAGCTCGTTCCTTCGTTGTGCCCTTGTTCAGCTGCCTCTTTTAGGTGGACTAAAAGTCTACTTCCGAGGAGACAGAGGAGTGATGGGCTTCCAAGATCTCCTATCACGGCTGCCAAGTAAGCGTTCGGAATCTTAATTCGTGTCTCTATGACATTAAATGTGCAACACGCAACAGCACTAACTAGAATCAGCATGAGATCACTACAGCAGGGAGCGACAACATACAGAAGAAAATAAATGAATTGATCCAGAATAAGAACTTTGACAAGGGCGAGTCCTTGAAGGCCAGCTGTCAACTTCCAGTAATCTGTAGCTTTGTATATCGCTAGAATCATGAGGAGCAGCCCGTAAGCAACTGGTACAATCCTGCTAGATATCAATGCTTGTTGGTTATTCGGCAGTCACATTTCTCACCAATCAACTAGCTCCAACTGCCATGGTACATATCCATCAACAAGGCAGACGTAAATATTTTGGGCAAAGCTCCCCAGTGTAACTAGAATGGATATCAGCTTTTAAGGCTACATTAGACACAGGCAAGCCTAACCTTTCTGGAATATATTAAGATATATTAATGTCCCAAGTCGCAGGGCTCCTTCCAGCGCCAATATAGCCTTAAGGAATAAAGATAGGACCTTGTCTACAGACAATCAGGTCATTTCTTTCAGGATATGCTTCACCTACCGTGGCCGTAAAGTGCAAGGACTCGAAGCATAAGGATGTCTGAAGTAATATGAACTAATGATTCTTGTCTGGAAATTGAGAACTCACAATCAACCAGGATGACGGTGAACCAGTCTTCCCATCCATCAAAATCAATGCGATGTAAACAAAGCTGACGCATACGTACTTGCAATGTTCTGTGACCATAGAGCAAAATTGCCTAGAAAATGTCACTCGCGTCCATGATATTCCCGACAGTTACCACTCACATCTGTGCATACAGTTATTAACATTGCGATATTAGAGCAGAGCAAGAGGCTCACTTTGGCAGATTCGCATCATACGAAGACCCTTACCGGGTTGCAAATGAATAAACTCGCTCGCTTATACAAACTAATGCCAAAATCGAAGCTGCTTACAGGAGAGAAATGCGATTGCACCAAAAAGCCCAATGTACCGATTCTATTAATGTCTCAATCATGCTGGCAATCATAGTAAGAATTATAACTGACCAGGAAGTAGACAATGTTGACCTTTCTCGTCGGTGAAGGCTTATCAATTGTTATCATGAGTTCTGCAACGACTGGGCTCGTTTGAATACACACCCAAAAATACCTGATCTGAAAATTTGAGATTAATTATGTTCGTATACGATAGCCAGAATATATTGGCGATCCAACCTCCTTATCCATTGTAGTAACTGTAATAGAGTACTTGATTTCGGTTTTTGATAGTCAATAAGATCGATCCGAGTTGCACTCACTAGTATCGTAAACCAAGATTGTGGCGATCGCAACTCGAAAATTTTGTAGAATGGTAATTTCGGAGACACGAAGCGGCGCAACGCTAGGATCTATGGGTTCGACATACGTTCTGGACGAGAGGAACGTTCTGTGCAGCGCCATGATAATCTGGAGTTTCGTACGTCGAACAGATGAAGATTTATGGAAGAGGTTGACCTATTTATTATACGTGGCAGTCCTTAGGACAAACATATATCATCAAGTATTGCTGGGGTAGATTGAGTTTAACGGTGCAGGTCAGAGGTGTCAGATGAAACATTGTGGAGTGAATTGAAATCAACTTCTTCACTCCCTATCACATATTTATCAAAGAAGCTATGTTTCCCAGAAAGTCCACTGCTTCATGGATGCTTGAAGTTTATCACCGCAATCGTGTAAACAATGTTCCTAAGTTCTGCTGCACATCGAATCGTTGACCAACATAAATTGAGTGACTTCCGGGCGGGAAGCGCCCATTCCGATAATCTCCTATAAGGAGGCGTATCAATGGGGATCACAAAAGCACATGCCCCTTCAACGAACTTGCTCGCTGTTGGCATCACTTTGCAAAGTTATTCCTATCAGAGTCAAGCATGAGCGCTCATCAATGCATCAAAAATCCATAAAGTCATTTGTTTTCACACGCTTGCATTCGTACGCCAGAACAGCTATTTGATGTCGGAACGAACAAGATAGTGTTGGCTGGGTTATAGACCTGAAGAAACAGTAAACGTTGTGGCCATCGGGTTTTCAAGCTTGCGAAGGCAAATGGTATCGGCTGCTGGAAAGCACGGCATTTTAAAAATCACCTTTTGATGGTTGACCCTATTGTAAGTCATACCAAACGTATTGTCAGAGATGTGAAATCGTTATGTTTTGCACTTAAAGTATAGTATTCTAGATGTCCATGATATTCGGTAAAATAAGTCCAAGTCGACGCATACAAGATGCAGCCTAAAATTAGAGTAAGCTCAAGTTACTGGCGAGATTGGCAAGGGTTTGTTAACCTAGATTAATTCACAGTCGCTGGGACTGGGACACAACAAATGCAAGACATAGCCACAGGCTACTAACATCGGCGACGGGTCACTTTGCTCTCACTATTATTGCCTATCTTCCAAGTTTACTTTCTTGGCGAGATCCTTCTCTGCGGGACTTAGAGTGAAAAATGACTCTTTTTGCCGCTGTAACCATCTCCGAGGCTACGGATATAAATGAAAATAATTCTGTTGAAGTATACGACTCTACTCACCGGCACAAAAACATGATCTTGCTCGCCGAAATCATGGAAAAACACGGCATAGATTAAGCTAGCTGATCAACATTTATGTGAGTGCTTGCCAGCGATGTGACATATCAGCCCTAAATACTCACTGGGAACGAGAACAACACGCAATAAGGATGCCGTAGAAAACAGCCAACGTGGACGAGGGTCTACTGGGCCGCCGCTCGGAAGAGACGAGTTTTTACCGCCACTTTCTTGAGGCTGGACGTTCTGTTCTGAAGTGTATCTTCGTATCCACCTTTTCCGTGTGCATTGCCGGCTTAAATGAGACGGCTGGAAGCAAGCATGCCTTGGAAATGAGCGTTGCATGATGAGTTTCTCAGTCATCTTCAGCGAGAAATCAGTATCGTCACGTGCTCTCCACCTCATCCTGATTCCTGACCTGACTAACCAAGACCGTATCTCTGCAGTCAACTTTCGTTATCCTCGTCTTCGCCGGCTTCTGGTCTTTGACCTATTTAATCGGTATCAAGCCTCACTGTATAAGATTAGGATCTTTGATACTGCAGAAGGGAGCGTCCTGACCATCTGGTCAGCGTTTGGTAGCTGACATGTGTCAAACAATTCACGTTAACTTCTGTGGGCAAACCGACGGAAATCCATGCAATTAAGAATGCGGATTAAAAATTACAGCTATATCAAAGAAATAAATCAGATTGAAATCATTAAGGTTTCGGCGTTTTGTAAAGACGAAGCACTTACCTTTATCAGCGCAACAACTAAGTATGCGACTTCCTCGCCTTTGCTCTCTTTTACTCACGTAACTATCCTTTCCAAAAGCAAAACTAGAAAAACTTGCTCATATTTCTATTTGAACACAACCAGATTTTCTTGAAAGAGAAATACCAACGTTCGGGGTTTGAAAACTTCAAGTTAGGTCGGCCAGAGCTCGTCGCATTGTTACTTTGCACCTACGGAGACTTACTGCGTCACTTTGCACTTCGTATTCTCCATATATGCCTCTCAAAATGGGAGGGTGCCTACTCTTGGTGTGACCTGGTAAAAATGTCGATTGCGATAGATTTTTCTTCTTTGCCTTGTCCAACTGAGGTCCCGTGTCAGTTACCCTAGTTCCCTCCCGAGGCCGCACAATGCTACGGGCGAAGCATTCACTACCACCTCTTGGTGGTAAGCTCAGGAAGAGGCAGCGGACACCTTCTCCGCCACCACCACCTCCACTTCCGCCGCTTCTACGGAGACGCACAACACCCAATATTGAACCCGCTCTTCCACCTTTAGACGAGAAGGTTAGGAAGAGATTGCGAAGTCTGTCGCCTCCATCTGTTGATCCTCTGGAGGACAATATGCCTCAGGTGGAGCACTCGCAGCCGCGTCGTGGAGGGTCGAGTAAGAAGAGGAGGCGGTCAAAATCGCCACAGTCGCCACCTCCGTTATCCCGCATGCCATCGTCGAAATACCGCCCAGGAAATGTGGACGTACCTGATGCTGTCCTTCCTCGGCGTTACAAACGACATGCCGTTTTACTTGACGATCTGGACTTTGATGAGCTCAAGTCATATTCATTCGATTCTTCCAGGTCTTCAAGTTCCTCCAGATCTTCCAAGTCTTCCACCTCCCTACGACCTTCCTCCGAGTTTCCTAGACGTGATGGGCAAACATCGTACGCTGGTAGCCGGACTCCCCGATTCTATCTCGAAAGTATACGCAATCTGATATCCAGGTTCCTTCGTCGGACAAAGCATGACAATCGAAGAAGCTACGCAAATAAACGGAGGGGATTCCTTGCATCTATGATTCGAGATTGGATGAACAAGAGGAGAAAGAAGCGATGGACTGAAGCAGGGAGGGATAATAAAGAGGATATACGAATTTTCTATCCACTTTTCGAGCGTGAGTCCATGACCCATGTCTTGTTTCAATCTTCTTTTTCTTACAGCATGCATTCTCCAGTCATTGACCAACGATACAGAGGAGGTCGCCTTTACTACAGGGAAGAGTCGATAAATTCCTACGCTTATCATAGAGTAAAATGTAGGATTGTTACTGCATAACCGAACATACGAAAGAGCTGACCCTTTGTGAATAGTCAAGCACATCTGGCGAACTGCTTCTGTGCTAGATCTCGATCTCTACTTAGCCGCAAAAGAAATGCAGTACGAGCTAGAATTCGAAGACGCGGCACGTAACGACGACAGATTCCTCGAACTCTTTCGACGTAAGTCCGCATTCCGCTTTCTTACGTTCCGAATGGAACTCAAGTATTGCTTTCGGAATATGTAGTAATTGAAAGGAAGTATGGCAATGCCAGGGTGATGTACAAAATAGACAGATTCGGCCGAAGACACGTTAAAGGTTCGTCTCGTTTTCCAGATCCCGTATTACCAAAAGTCTCACGAAACCATGCACAGTCGAACATTCTATTTGCGGCTTCCGTGTATGTGATAGCACCGTGCAGAATGCTATCGACCGATTGTGTCATCTCTACCAATATGAAATTGGAGTTCGGCAGGACAGGAAGTTGAAGCGCTGGCGCAACATCTTTGATGGTTCGTACCGTTTCCCCTCGCTTGAACTCTCCGACATAAGCGACTGAGAATCAAAACTGTGTGTAGCAATCGAACTGTACTTTCCGGACAGCAAGTTATTCTACAAGCAGATCACTAACGGCATATGGCACGCGGTGGGTGAGTTAGGTCTCGCATATAAGATCACAATAATTCGCATGCTAATAACACCTCACACAGTCATGCACGAAGTTGATGGAGATATAGCTAGTGGGAGTAGCTATACTCTCGATTATGCCCTCAAGCAACTATCGAACGAGTTAGTTGATGCTGTTGAGGATCTCCAGAAGAACCACAGAGCAGTTGGTCGGTGGCGATGTTAAACTGGAATGGAATGCTGCATTCACTGTATTTTCACTTGAAGGAGTTGCTTTCTAATTTACGTATGCGGAACGATGATGGTCAACTTACCTTCGCTTCCTAATCAGCTCGATTCTTATCCATGATTGGTTATCTTAATAATGAGAATTTGTAGAAGAAATAGAACATTGTTAACGTACATCTAGTCTACGGCAAGACAACCGCTTGCGACTTGAACGAAGCGACACATCGTCAACTATGATGAGTTCTATGCAAAGGAACGCTGGAAGGGAAAGCTCATCACTAAAATTTCTACGTCGAATTACGTTCCAGGAATTGCAATTGCCTCTCCAATGCAGCAGCAACTTCAGCAGCTTTCGGGCGCCGGGCAGGCTCCTCTTCAACACAGCTTTCAATAAGCAGCCTGTACCATCCAGGTGTTGCAGGATTGTCCTTCTGCCAAAGATCACTGCGTCCTTGTGTGGTGGGTCCACCACGCGACGAGTTAGTACTGGCCGCCGAATCTCGACGCGCGGTACTATAAATATCAGGGAAACCATCAAAATTCTCTTCTGCGAGCGCCCACAGAACCATCCCAAGGTTTGCCACGTCAAGCGCTGTGCCGATTTCGTACGTCGGCCTTCGTAAACGTTCAGGGGCAGCCCATCTCTTTGAGTAACGCATTCCAGTTGGCGAAGCGGCTCCACGCAGACCGGCGAAAACTAGGTAAGTGTCCCGACAGCTTGAAGACGTTGCAGAACCAGAAACGAGAACATTTCGCGGGTTTAAGTTGCGTAAAGTAAGCGGGCCGGCTGCCACGTTCCCATCATGCAGCGTCGCAACACCGCGGGCGAGTTGAGCGGCCCAGCGAAGTTTATCTTTCCATTCTGGTTGGCGAGGAAAGACAGTACTTCCAATCTCACCACTTTCTGGTCGCGAAACTGGAAACTGACGTCCGTTACTGAAGACCTCCTCGATACTTCCATACGGTTCAAAGGGTGAAAGAAACCCGCGCAAACGATTGCGCGGATCAATTACAACGGCTGAGAGTTTCAAAATACGACCGTTCCCACCGGCGTTGAGTGGTGATTGTAGAAGTATTCCGATCTCATGACTCGTTACATCAGTGTCTCTCCCGGTCCGCTTGAAAGCAAAGACGCCCTCACGTCCCTTCCAGTGTACTCTGTCAATACCTGCGGATAGCCCGAATCTGCCAGCCAGGCCGATCCGCTTAAGGTCTGCAATCTGTACCGTAGGCGGATGAAGCGAGGATAACGAACGTGGGACGTTGGAAAGAGGAAAGACGAGCTCATCCTCTTCACTGGTGGAAAACGTCAACTTTGAATCTGATTCCGTCCGGATCACGACCCTTGTTGCTGTGATATAGAAACGCTCAACGTATGGAAGCGCCTTTTGAGCGAGCTCTAATAGCTCGAACTCAACGTTTGCGCGCTTCTCTTGTAAAATGTCACCCTCGCTGTCAAATGCATCGAGTATACGGTTCTCTACTGCATCCCTGACATGTGTGTTCCGCACCAGGCAAAGAACGAGTACGTCGGAAGCCTTGTCATCGTAGGAATCAAGGACAGTTCCATAGTGAATCAACGCAAGAACGTGCGGGTGGCGCGTGTGAGGCTTGCAGGTGAGCCGTCTGAGTGAAAGTCTTCGACGAGCACGTTCTGCAATACACAAATGGTGGTATTGTTAGGACATATGCATATTGCCGGAGGCGGGTCCAGGGAAAGCTCACCTTCCTGGCTCAACGGACCTGCATGTATAAGAGTGGAATAAGCGTCAAGTCTGACATCATATACTACGCACATACGGCTGGAAGCAGTGGACGCCTTTACCCACATATTCATTTTGTAACAAATCTATTAACGAAGAAGTGGTGTTGTGGAGAAGAGAAAGGAGCAGGACTGTTGTAGTTCAAAATGCTAGGTCAAAAGGCTTTCAATGGCGGATGCAAATACATCAATGTGATTTCAGGGACAAGGATCTGCCAGAGGCTGGGCAGGAAGCTCTCTTTTATAGTTTCAAGGCAGGAGAGAAGTACATCTCCTAAGCGGCACAATGACCCTGGGATGAGCATACGCCCTCCATAATGACTGCAAGACGGAATGCCGGGTGCCACGGACAGGCACGATGTGGTCTTCGGGTATATTTTGTGAAAGCGGACGGCTGAGCGAAAAGGTCACCTCGAAAGATGGGGTAGCCAAACCTCCGGAGTTGAAGGAAGGGTCACCGCGTTGCACTCAACTCGCGCTAATCTGTCTTCTTGCAGAAGTTCTCAAGAAATTCGACTTACGAATGCTTCGCATCACGAGGTGCCCCTCGCATTCCGAGGTGCCTTTGACCTTCAGGCTGACAGCCATCAAGGCGTCTACTCGCAGGTTGTCCGACTCGGTAGATGAACTGAATTGCTTACGATAATACGCCTTGATTTGTTTCTTTCCATTACTGTCCGAAGCTATGAACGCAATAGTTTCGTCATCAGAAAATGCTAACATGAGTAGTCTGTCCCTGTCTTACTTTGACAAGAATATCATCATAAGCCCGAACCTGACGCATTCCCGGATGAATATAGGATAGGGGTATTCAGTTGCCTAGGTTTACTTTCTCATTTTACGTCTTACTCACAATACACCCGCCTCGTCTCAATATAAGCGGTTAGGACGGGAAGACGAGTCGTCTGAAAGCAGGCAAGAATAGGAACCCGCAATCGAGAAATGAATGGCTCCGCAAATTAAACCTGTATGAGGAATGCCAGGTACGGGTTCTAAAACAAGTCTATCGTAGATATCAAACGGGACTCGAACATACGATAAGTTCTTCGCGTCGCGAGAAAACGTGCGACGGAGGCTTATTGTGCCGAACTTTATTTTGAAAACTCTAATAACCGCGATCCCTTAAACAAACCAGAGATGTGGTAAATTTCACATCTATCATACGAAAACGGTTCTGAACTCATCATTATATGTACATCAGTAAACCATTGTGACGTAGGTCAAGTTCGTCAAGATGCATGTGGCGTTTGATCTGTAGAGAAGTTAGTTAAAGATAACTATGTGTTCAGAAGCGTCCTACCAAGTCCAAGGATGAGCGCTAGGCTTGTGAGGTACAAACCGCTATCTGCAGTACGCTGGAGGCCTCGTGTTTGCGTCGAGTTTGAAAAAAAAAGGGAACAATAGACTAAACGGGGAATAAATGAGATCAGTATGTAAACGAAGGGCGAGAATGGACGGCACGAAGACGAAGGCTCTACCTTCGCGCTCCAGAATTTCACCAGTATACCCGGATTCAAGGACGGAGGCCTCAATCGAGGGCCTTCTTGAGAATGTACTTCTTCGGACTTCATTACATGGTGTTTATTTTGATGCCATAACTGTACAGTTGGGCTCAAATACGTATTATGGGTTTGATAATGTGAATCCAGAAACCATACATTACTCACTTTTACTGGTGCACACTCTCAGGTTGTTAAGAATGTAGTATCCAATATTATCTGCAACTACTAGTGTCAATCTCAAGTACCAGTTGAGGTAGAAGAGGTCAGTTGAGTCTGCAAGGTACAGACACCAAGAGGGGTCAAGAGTGAGAAGGAATAGGTAGATCTGAGCAGAATGTACAAGTTCTGAAGGTGACAATTAACAAGACAAGAGTAGTGCAGAACAACAAAGCTGCACTTCAGAACAAGGCAATACAAGACAAGACAAGGCAAGATGGAATGTTAACTGAGGAGACTGTCAAACTACACACTAAGAGTTACAGTAGAGAGTAACTTGATTGCTTGAAAGTACAAATTACATGAGGGTATTTATAGAAATTATGAGTCCTTTGTAGCTACTAGTCCTTTGTAAACAAATCCACCACTGTCTCCTTTGTATCAACCCATCCAGGACTCCAGATCTGAGTCCCCTTTGTATTGATCAACCAGCCATCTAAAGGCTCAGAGTCTTGCCTTTGTGAATTAGAACTAGAGTCCAGAACCCAACTAGTCTGAGTTGAGTGACCAAGACTATTGTGTGGGCAATGATGATGTAATCGAAGGATTGCTGACATGAGGATGATGCAACTTTGATGTGACTGAGCCCTTCTGATCAGAACATATTGGAACATACATGTTGTGTAAGCATAACATCTCCCAGGTGTTTTAGAATGTGACTGTCCCCAGTCACACCTGAGGGTGTAAATTTGCAAACTGGTGCACTTCATGTTTCAATCTTCTGCTTCTTTTCAAGTTTGTCCTTCTTCTTCAACCATGTCATTGTTACAAGAAGTGAATCAGGTCTACAACCAAGTGTAGGCCCTTACCTAAAGGATGTAGGAGTTGCTACAGTGTGCAAGGACAGTGGATCAGCTATTAGCAGTAACAGAGTGGAGGGCAGAACTGGTACAGTTGTAGGTAAGTTCTTGGACATTGTATTGTCTCTAGGTCTTCTGACAAGACAGTACAGTCAGATTGGGATACACTCACTGTATCAAGTGTACAGGCCAGCTTTGTGCTTGCCACACCACAGCAGCTCATGCTTTAACTCAAAACATAGGTGTTGCAAATCAATGTAGAGTACAGTAGCTGCAAGGATGCTCTGATTGGCAAACCACTTCAAGGGCATGAAGATACTATAGCTGTTAACAAACCAAGCATTACTCCTCTGACAAAGCAGGTAGTAGAGGTCATAGTTCTAAGGCTGTCTAATGTGGTTAGGCACACTGTCCAGGATGCTGAGACAGGTGCTCCTATGGGTGAACCAGACGTTCTGCTGGGTTCTGAGCTAGAGCATGAGTTGTCTGTATACTGAGCACACAAGTAGGATCAAACACTAGATAATGAGAGGTTGGACATGCTCCTTTGTGAGTAGTAAGGAGTGCAACCAGGCTGTCAGAATGATGAGGAGGACAACTTGAGCAGTACATAGTTCCTTCTTTACTTATTGATGATTTGACTGACTACTACCAGTCACTTGATCTAGATACAGATTACATATATTTGGGCAGGAGACATTCTGTGTTGTACATATTAGACTTCCACAAGACAGACTGGGTAGTAGAGGAGGTTGAAAACAGGTAGGTTGAGTTGCAGTTCCAGAACAGTTCTCTAGTGCCAGAGTCAGTGCTAGACAGTGGCCTGACACCTTTAATGAGTCAGAGGTGCAGTAGCTGTGTCTGTCAGCACATAGTATACATTCAAGAGTATGGTGAGACAATTGCATACTCAGTATGTAAGAAGAGTAAGATCTGTTGCTCTCTCACAAAGACTGGTAAGGTGGCAAGGGATATACAGTTGAGGCAGGAGAGGACAATAGTAACAAACCTGTACCCTGTGGCTAGGCTGTCAAGGGTGTGTCTGGAGGATCTGAGTAAGTTGTTCTAAGATCAATACTAATAGCTTTTGAAGACAACATTCTTCTAGGTGAACTCTTGAAACACTTGTTGGACAATAGTGAGTTCTAAGAGGATCTGGAGCTCAAATGCAAGCTTTGTGTCCTTGGAAGGCAGGTGGCTGTCTATTGTACAATGTTGGATACAACAATACAGAATGTAGAGTAGTTACAGGCTAGGATGGGCACAAAGGCAAGGTGTTGGAAGGATGGACAGAAGGATGGATAGAATTAGACATTCTGTTCAGAACAACTGAACTAGCATAGGTGAGACAGTCAACATAAAAGCTGCCTGTAGAAGTAGCCAAATATAATCCCCCCTCTATAGTTTTGAATAGTATTTTCCATATGTTCATAACAATGTGTAATGTTACTAAAGCATGAGTGTGATAATTGTAAGGTAATAAGAGTGACTCAGCATTGATAGGTAAACAACAGAGGCAAGGCCATATGTATACTGAAAGTAAGGCAAACTAACAGAACAAGAACAGAACAAGAACAGAACAAGTATGGAACAAAACTGAAAAAGAAACAGAACAAAAATAGAACCAAAATAGAACAAGAACAGTGTGAGAACAGAACAAGAACAGAACAGAATGGAACAGAACAGAACAAAGCTCTTAGTACATGACTTTGAGACTGTTGTGACTGAAGAAATGCAAAAGTGGTCTAAGGGCTACTGGATGAAAACCTGTGTATGAAAAACCCAGTAGGAAAAAATGTACTACAGGGAAAACTATACAGGTTCAAAGTATAAGTCTAACTATAATCTACAATTAGTTAAAAGTAAAATCAAAGAAAAACAGAAGATAGAGCAGAACAGGATTAGAACATTGTCTAGAATATATTAAGGGGTTAATAGAAAAAGACAAATTCAAGAAAGTAAGGAACACATAGGTCTATAGTGGTTGGCCACAATTGGCCTTTAGTTAGAGTCAGAGTCCTTGGAAGGCTTGTCTGACAGTAGCAGGTTGTCAGTGTCATTGATTTCATCAGCTGGACTGAAGTTTTCAACAAGATGTGTAACTGGAATCAAGAGTATAGTGTGGGCAAAGTATGGAACCAAGCAGAACACTGTGATACAAAGATGGGAGACTGATCCATCAAGTTCAGCTACAATATAGGATCCTCCTTGTGTATGACAGACTACTATGTATAGTCTGAGATAGTATGGCTTGGTTTTTCGTCCAAGATCCATTCATGATTTAGAGTTGTGTATGAGGACAAGTCAACCAGGTTCAAAGTTAAAATCTTTGATCAAGTGTTTGTGTGTTTCTTCAAATTGTTAGAGTGAAGCAATCTGGTCTGTATGGACGTGTTCTGTGATAGCTTGAAGGTTGGCCAGACGTTTCTGTAGTTGATGTGCTTGAGTTACAATGAGTTCTGTCATTGTTATGAGTTTGTCTGGTGCTGGAGCAAGATACATTACTTCTGTAATATTAAATAGAAGAAGTGGTTCAACATTATAGACAATAAAATAA